TATATATATATATATGTATGTATGTATATATATATATATATATATATATATATATAATAAGTAATAAACATATTACATACAGTTAGCATACGGACAGTAAAGTAAATTTTAAACGAAACATCAATACATTATACAAAATATTATACTACTGTATAATAGTGGCTTGTGACGTTGGTAAAGGCTAGAAAAACGTGCATCTAAATAGTCGTGACAAACGCTATTAATGGCATGTACGACTTTTCATAGAAAGAGCTTATACGGTAAAGTGTAATTAACTTAACAAACCGTTAGGATAATGTTTCTGGAACATTTCTGGTCTACCAAGACCGATGAACGTTCCAAAGAGAGTTATATCCATTAATAAAGACTGGCTTCCTTAATCTTACATTTTAATATTCCGTGTTGCGATATTAAACGGTTGTCAGTTTTCGAATGTATTTGATATTTTGTGTTGGACAATAAATTAACAGTATGTAGTATAAAATCGGTATATCGCCAACGGCTTTTTTGCGACGGTGATTGGTAGGTTGAATCGGGCGCCTTTCCAATTGCGTCGGGGACAGCAGCTATGCAGTGATAATAAGTGGACACATGTAAAGGTATATGCATAGCGATGTTATGGAAATCACAAGTAAGTGATAAATAAGTGTTTTTATTGATCGCTGTATTGACTTTATTACTACTAGGCCTATTACCACTATGCCACTACTACTTCTGCTGCTACTGCTACTACCTGTTACTACGACGACGACTACTGCTACTACTACTACTACTACTACTACTACTACTATTACTACTGCTGTTGCTGCTACATTTAGTGCTGCTGCTACTACTACTACTACTATACTACTATTAAATTTATTGATCGCCGTATTGACTTTATTACCACTAGGCCCATTACCACTATGCCACTACTATTTCTGCTGCTGCTACTACCTGTTACTACTACTACTACTACTACTACTGCTACTGCTACTGCTACTGCTACTACTACTACTGCTACTGCTACTACTACTACTACTATTACTACTGCTGCTATTGTTTTATTTTTTCTAATTAAAAACATAATTTTTAATTAGTATTATTATAATTATTATAATTATTATAATAATAATAGAAATAATAATAATAATAATAGTAATAATAATAGTGATAATAATAATAATAATAATATAATAATAATAATAGGCCTAATAATAATAATATCATTATTAATAATAAATGATATAATATGATAATATAATATAGGCTTAATATAATGTCAAGCAGTAAATTATTAGCACAATTTTCTCTGTAGAATTTATTTTAGGCCTAATTAGGGGTTTTGATTGTATTTAGTAGACGTATGGATTTCTTATCACAAACATTACGATTGCTGTGTTTTATTTACATTGACATCGCGTGGGTTATTCAAATGGCAATTCAAATAGTTTATGTATCACTTATGTTACATCTTAGCTTGTATTTGAATAAAACGTGACAAGGTTTTTGTCTTTACCATATCGGTTGACATCTACGCGTTAGATTCGTGATACTTTGTTTGCCTTATCTTTGCGTCGTCAGTAAGTCTTACATCTGAACAATTTTAAATAGTAGCCTAAAAAGTAAGACATTCAAGTATCATATCGGTTACATTGTGTATAACGTGTATTTCTATGCATTCTATATTATATTCCTAATATGGGCCTACAGCACACTGTCAATAATATAACATCAATATGTATTATTAGGCCTATAATAACTTAAATTACTTATGATTCCCACAAAAGCACTTGAGGCATTTTTTCGAAAGTATTTGGAAACCTACTGAGTATTTAGTAGATAACACGTCAGAAAGGCAAATTATCACCCCGGCCCTATATTTGAAGTAAATAGGCCTAGAGCATTTTCAGTACCCGCTCCGGCTTCAGATTCAACACTAGTCACCAAGCATAAACTCGGTGGTCTAGTGGTTATGCCACCTGGTTAATTATCTGGAAGTCGTAGGTTCGATACCAAACTAATTTTGCATGTATTTGGGAACGTAAATCTATTAAGTATTCGGTAAGATAACACGTCATGTAGGGCAAAGCAGGCTATCACTCCTATAACTTTACATTTTGCAAAATTATATTGTAACTGTATATACATTTAGTAATATACCTCGCCCAATATTATGTAACCAAAAGGCAATTTTATAATGTAAACGAATATTAAAACGTACATTTTGCAATGTAGGTCTATAGATTTTAAACAGCTGTATATATTATTGCAAAATATACGTTATTTGTTTAAATTTTGCTAAATGTAATGATCCAGTGCAATGTGCTACGATTAATTGCGATAGACCACAACATTTAGTACGACGACACTGATATTTTCAATAATTTTACCTCAAAACCCCAAAACTACTACATATTAGGAAAAACTTACCAGAGAGTACAAACGCTTAAATGTAGGCCTACACCACAGAAAGAGTTAAAAGTGTTATAATCGTGGTAGGACAGAACGTTCACAGAATCATATATTTGTGTGAGATCAGAAAACAGAAGGTAGACTTATATACTTCAGTTATATTTAATATTAAATAATTTTTAAATTTGTTTCAATATTGTGATAATTATTGTATTTAAACAGATGTAAGTTCTTTTAAAAATCAATATGTTGACTCCTTAAATATTGATATTGATCTGGAAACGTTTTTAATTCTAAACCTTTTGATAAATTTCTAAAGGATTTTGTATTAAATTTGTATGTTTCCACGATGCTAGTAGTCAAACAGGTGTTTGAATGAAAATAACTTGTTAATGAAAAGGACATATTATTTGTTATTATTAAAAGCGATCATGGTATATTATTTAATATTTCGTTCTTATTAGATTATCTTCACGAATTCCTGATGATGTTTTAATAAACAACGAAAAATTAAATCCACATTACTTCGATCTGTCTGTTTGTAGTGTACATGTGTATTATTATTATTCTATGTTAATATAATCAGTGGGGCATATGGTATATATTTTTTATGCGATAATATGTGATTGCTAAAATCGTCGCTAGCATATCTGTGGTAGATGTTGATTAAATTCTATAGAATTACTCAGTTCTACATT